TCCATCCATCCATCCATCCATCCATCTATCCATCCATCCATCTACCTACCCACCCACCTATCCATCCATCCATCCATCCATCCATCCATCCATCCATATACCCACCCTCCTACCTACCCATCCATCCATCCATCCATCCATCCATCCATCCATCCATCCAACTTTGAGGTCCTTTCAGTAACCCCAAATTGAATTATACCTTAAGATACTTGTGTTGTTGTTCCAGAAACTTTCCCCAAATCAGCCAACATGTCCCTTTCTCCTTTCACTTAGCTTTCTGTTCAAATGTCACTTCTTCTAAAGACAGATGATACAGTGGCTTCCTACTCATATCTGTTCCTTTAACTAACATTATCTTTCTTGATAGCATTGATTAGCCCTTGAACTTATATGGTTTATTGCGTGGCCCCTTCAGCGGGAATCATCCTCAAGGCTGTAGGTTGGCTAGTCACCTGCCTTGGCCCACCCCCAGGGTGGTGCCACACATAGCAGGTTCTCAGAGAATGCTTGTTAAAGGCACAGGAGACAGTGTGGGAGGCTGTGAGTCACCCGCCAGGGTCAGCACCAGCTTTTTCTTCTAGCTGTGTGTTCTGAGGTGAGCCCCTTAATGGAAGACTTCTCCTCCTGGACTCTCCTAGGCTATGGAAAAGCAGGATGCCTGGGATGGCCCTGGAGAGTCAGCATTTCTTGCACTTAACAGATGGTGCCCAAGTTGCCTGGCCCTGGATCCAGGTTCTTTATTTTAATTTACTTTTATTTTTTGTGGTGCTGGAGATAGAAGCTGGGCGCTCACGCACACTCCCACAGTCATTCTCTGTGAGTTATATGCTTAGCCTTGGACCCCAGCTGAGCCGCGAGGCCTTGACCGTTCTGAGCCTCAGTTTCTGCACCTATAAAAGGGTTCGTTATGAAAAGCAAGCACTGTGCGCACTGCCTGACACTGCAGGCGCGCGGGGAGGATCTGTGTGTTTCTCTCCTTCTGCTCCTCCCATCCCCAGGGTCCATGCCCCCCCAGCCTCCTCAGGCCTTGCCCACTTTCCTTCCTCCTGAGCTGTCCAGCTTGTCTGTCACACGTGACTGGGGTCGAGGAGGATTCTCGCATCTTGACAGTCACAGGAACATCATGAAAAAGGGTGAAAGGAAAAGCTCCTGAGCCCTGATGGCCCTGTACTGGGGAGCACATGGCTGAAGCAGGGGACCCTGAGTGCCTTGGGGTTGGGGCAGGAGGAAGTGAAGGACCTGGGGCACCAGGGCATCTCTCTGTGGCTGGGAAGGGCACCCTCCTCCCTCTTTGTTTGCAGGGTGATCCTGCCCATGGGCTGGAGCATGGGGGTCCAGGACAGGCTGGCCCAGGGGCTTCCCAGCAGCAGATGGGTGGCCAGTGGGAATGGGCAGCCGGGGCTCTTGGCCTGGGAAGGAGAGGGTGACAGGAGGGGCCTCTCTGGAATCTAGTGTAGCAGGGCAAGACACATGCTTGGCCCTGCAGCAGATGAGCCTGGGTCAGGCTCACTGGGTGGGACAGCTGTCTTTGGGATCGCTGGATGGAACCGCTCTTTAGGGGAAAGATGATCCTGGGCTGGGGGCCCGCAGGCGGGCGCGGGCTCTACTTACAGCACCTGGGAACCCAATCCTTCCTGCCCCAGCTCAGGCCTCCCCGCTCTCCTGGGAGCCACTGCTCTGGAACCTGTTTTTGTTCTCCAGGACTGGGGAATGAATCTAGGGCCTCCGCACTGAGCTAGATCCCCAGCCCATTTTAATTTTTTAAAATTTTTAGATGAGGCCTAAGTCACTAACTTGCCTAGGCTGGGCTTGAACTTGCCTTCCTCTTGGCTCAGCCGCTGAGGGTGCTGGGATTACAGGTGTGTACCACTGTGCCTGCCTTAAGTCTTTCTTTCTTTCTTTCTTTCTTTCTTTCTTTCTTTCTTTCTTTCTTTCTTTCTTTCTTTCTTTCTTTTTAAGGAAGGAAAGGTTTATTTAGCTCACAGTGTGTGGAGGTTTCAGTCCATACTCGGCTGGCTCCAAGGCAGAGTGGCACATGGCAGAAGGCAGCAATTCAGGGCAGCAGAAAACAGCAAGAAGGCAGGAGCAGAGGCAACCGCAGCAGCAGCAGAGGCAAGGAGCAAAGGGAGGAGTAGTGGCTGCCTGCAGGGAGACGAGGTCTTCTTTAATGGGCTCTAGGTGGAACACAGAAACGCCAGGCCAGTACAGTGCTCAAAACCCACCACAGCCCCATACCGAAAGTTACCCTGGGAAAATCCAGCAGTTTTTGCTCCGTTTCTTAAGGGTCCTGTGGCCTCACCAGGCAAAGACACTGTGACAGCCAGCGACCCCCAGGAGGGGCCTGCACTGGGACAGCATTCAGGAGTCCTGCAGAGCAGGGGCACTGTCTTGCCGGCCGCTGCTTCTCACGGCTCCAGCAGTCTCTGGCTCCTGGTCCGTGCCTGGTAAATGTGCAGTAAAAAATGAAACAATCCTTTTCTTCTGTTTCAGAATCATTTTCCCCCTTCTGTTTTGACCTCTCTGACATCAGGATACCTCTTGCCGTTTCCGGCTGCCTTGGACTAATGGGCAGGAATCTTATGAAGAAGAGGGTCCTTAGATGGGGCGAATAGAGGCAAGGCTCACTGCCAAGGAGCGGGCTCTGGTTAATTTGCGGGAAGTTTTAAGGGGTCTCTGAAAATTGTCCTGGCCACAAAGATTTACCTGCTCTTGCCTAGGAAGCCCTGCCCTCGTGTCATGCTGTCTCCTACGTCCTCACTCTTCCCTGGTCTCCTGCTTCCTCACCTCCAACCGCCCTCCTTTTAAGTTGTTTCTTCAGGCAGGTACTGGGACCTCGTGGACCTCGGGACTCGCTCTGAGGGCTCTAGGCAGGATCTGGGCTGGACTGAAAGGAGGGTTTCAGAATGGGGCGGTGGTGGCCCCTTCGCAGCTAAGACCCTGCCTTGGCCGTGAGCGTCTGGTCCCTGGGTGGCTGTAGCTGGCGATCCTCTATCGGAAGCAGCGCCTCCTTCAAGCCCCAGTTGGGGCTCTTCATTCCTACTCTGGAGTCCCTCCCAGGAGGGGAGGGTGGTGTGCTGGGCTTGTGTGCATCGCATGGACTCGCGTGTTCGTGTTTCGGATCTGTGAAGATGCATGTGCACACGTCTTAAGGTGCGTGTACCCTGATATCAGTGTCACACGCGTGTACCTGTGTGGCACTTAAATGTGAGGCTGACACGTGCCTAGAAATGCCTGTGGGCCGACCTGTAACGGGTGTTTGTCCCTGGAAGTGTGCTGTGGGCGCACACTTTGGTACATGGACGATCACATGCGAGCTGCGCGAGCTCCTGGCATGTGCAGGAGCGGAGACCCTTGAGAGGAGCCTCGCGCCGCGATCCCAGGACCTAGCAGCCAGCCCAGGAGCACCAGGTGCTGAGCTGAGTTGTTTTACTACCGTGGGCCTCAGAACCAGTCTGTAAAATGGACGTGAACTTTCGTTGCAGGAGACCGTGGGTGAGCATCTGACACTCAGCCTGGCCTGGAGAAACTCAAACTCTCTAGACCAGACAGTGAAAGATTTAGCAAAGAGTAATATCTTACAGAGTAGTTCGCGTTCAGGACCCGAGGGGGGTGCATGACACAGGTGTTGCTCCCGACGTCTGGGAGGAAAGATGGAGGCCCGCCCTTGGGGAGGAAGAGAAGGAATTTCGCAACAGGACAGCCAGGTAGAGCGGGCCGCGCTAGCCTGTGCCCCGCAGCCTGTTTGTGGGGTGAGGCGCGCCCGTGTGGGTGCGGGCGCCCCCTGCCGTCCGCGGAGGGAGGTGCCGGTGCAGAGCATTGCCCAGTTGCCATGGAAACGAGCAGAAGGAGGTGGGTGGCTGGACAAGGAGGCGGGCCGGGGGAGGGCGGGGAGGCGGCGGCGTGGGGGCGGGGAGCGGGCTCTTGCGGCTCTGGCGCCGCTGCCTCAGAGCGCGCTGGCCAGGGGACCCCGGAGCGCGCAGCCCCAGCTGGGCGCCAGGACCCCGCGCGTCCCAGCAGCCGCGGCGCAGTAGGAGCGCGGCCCGGCACGGCCCAGGTAGGTGCGACCTGGGGTGCCGCGAGTGCCCCAGGTTTCCCCCGGCGCTATCCCCTGTCGCCTTCTTCCTCTGCACCTCCCACCCGTGTCCACCGCGGCCACTGGTCCGGACTTCTGCATGCGTAGCTCTGCCTGGGGTCAGGGCTGGGGTCCGGGCTAAGCTGGTCTGGGGCGGTGGGTGACTTGAGGCCGTCGCCTTCCAGAGCTCCAGGTGGCCTCGCCTTGGGCTCACAGCCCCTCTCGACCGGAGCTGTGCACTGACCCCAGCTAGCCTTCCCAGGACCCCGGCGCACGGCCCCACCAAGCCCGGGCTGCAGTCGGGGTGCAGGAGCGCAGGGCTCCGCGGCGCCCCCTCCCGCTGCATTGCTCCGGGGATGGCTGCGCTGCCGCGGGGAGCTGGGCATTGCGGAGGCGGCGGGAGGGGGTGGCGCTGCGAGGAACCGGCACTCGCGGGCGAGGAGCGGGCCGAGCGTGCGCAACGCGGGGTGCGGGCTGTGCCTGGGTCAGAACTGAGGGCCTTCACCCGCAGGAGGTGGCAGCGCAAGGGGCGCGATTGGTGGGTGGAAGACCCTGCGCCTGTGGGAGGAGTGGGGAGCGGAGCTTGGGTTCTGCAGATGTTTGGTGAGGCTCTGAGTGAGCCCAGGGGCTCGCGCTTTGGGGTCCAGTGCTCCGGAGGCAGGAGAATGGGTCGTGGGACTGGCTTGGTGGGTACAGATGTACCCCGCACACTGGTGCCTCTGCAGCCTGATTCTCTGAAAGCCTCAACCCCCTCCCTACCTCCCAGGGCCGGAGTTGCGTTGTAGCCCAGGACCTAGCCCTTCCTGGCCTTGCAGCCTGGCCCCAACCTCCCTCTGCCAGCCCCCTACTCCTGGCTCCCTGTCATTTCTCCCTGTCCCCATTGAGGTCTGTCCTTCCTTGCTGTCTGACCTCCCCCCCCCCCCCGCAGTTTCCACTCAACTCTGAGGCCCACTGGAAAGAACTCCAGGGACATCTGCCCTGACCCTATCCCTGCACTGTGAGTCCCTAGTCTGGCCACTGCCCTGAAATCAGGCTGGGACCCTGTCTCTCCAGCATTCATCTGTAAGTCTGGGTGGGAGGTGGAGCCCAGGGGAGGTCCAGGAGCACACAGAGGCCTGGAGCTCCGGTGGGTTGGGGCTGGGTCCCGAAGCAAGAGCTCAGGGAGGCTCTTTGCCGTTGTCCTGTGGCTTCAGACCTCCGGAGCCACCCCCCGCACCTGCCCTCCCCACCCAGGCAGTCCACACCCCCCTGGAAGTCCACAGCCTTGTTTGGCAGCTTCCCTGGTCTCCTCCCCGCATAGGCTTCTCTGCCCCCAGCAGCCGCGGAGCCGCTGAGACCCAAGCCAGACACTACGCTGCCTCTTCTGGGCCTTGGACATTCTTGCATCTTCCTGTGAGAAGAAGTCAGCGGCCTCCCTGCGCCCCACTGGGCCCAAGTCACTGGCAGCTTCTGGTCCCACCCGCCCACCCTCCCTGCCTGCCTGCCTCCCGCTCGCTCAGTCTTCCCAGGCACACAACGCCCCTCTCCCTTTGACCCTGCTGGTCTTCAACAGTGGCAAACACCCCTCTGCCTCAGGGCCTCTGCACGGGCTGCGCCCTCTGGCTGGGTGTGCTGCTCCACAGGCACTGCAATCCCGCCCGCCCCCCACAGCCCCCCACAGCCCCCCACAGCCCCTCACCTCCAACACACTGTTGCTTACCTTGTGTACAGCCCTTCTTGAACTCCACAGTTTGGGGGTCCTTCCATCTTGCTGCTGTAGCCCGCATCTGCACAGGTCACTCCCTGGCCCTTTGCATCCCCTGGTGGGCCCCAGGAAGCCCCCTCTAGACAGAACTGTGAGACCCCAGGTGGGAGAGAGGCAGGAGGGAGAATAAGGAGGGAGCCCTGGGTGGCTGAGCACCACCTCAGGCCTAGCACCTGGAGGCAGCCCTGCCTCCTGTCCCCTCTTCTGTCCCTGGCCAGGGGTGAGGGCTGCCTCCTGGTGGGTGACCCTGCAGCCTGTCCCCCTAGCCCTGCCTCCCTGTTCTGTTCTGGAGGTGGCTCACTCAGGCCCCAGAATGTGTGCCCCATGAGGGTGGGCATCGAGGCCTGGGGACCCTCTGCCGTGCCCAAGCCTCCCTGAAGCCCATGGGCAGCAGGAAGTGCTGCCTCATCCACACCCACCCTGGCTGGGGAACATGGGGTGATTAGAGAACAGCAGAGCCCAGCACAAGGGCAGAGCAGGGGCAGGTGTCAGAGGGGGCCCTGCGGCTGCATCCGTGCTGCAGCCCGTCTGAGCTGGCAGTTGTATCCAGCACCCTCAGCTCTGTCTCTGCCCATGTGTTCCCACCTTCTCTGTCCCCTCCTGGAAACATTCCTGGAAGGGGTCCCCTGTGGCTGGGGGACCTTAGCTTAGAGTGCAGTGAGGCGGGTGCCTCGCTTGTGGCAGTGGCAGCTGCATGAGGGGTCTTCCTCTCATGGGGACCTGAGGACCTGCGTGCTCCAGGTGAGGCTCCCTTGGGGGTATCTGAGGGAATCTGGAGAGAGGGTGTTCTATGCACCAGTCACAGCAGGATAAGGAGGAGACTGAGGCACAGTGGTTGAAGAACTTGCCACAGCCCACAGCCACACAGGGCAGAGCCGGGGGCTGTACCCGGTGTCAGCACTCGCCGCTTCTACCCTTGGCTGTGTGCTGATGGGGTGGCTTCTGACAGGCACACGTGGGGTGGGCAGGGCTGGGACCATGGAAGGCGTTGTGTAGGGAGGGGGCAGAGCTGCCCTGGAAGGGAAGCTAGGATGTGGGGGACAGTGAGTGGCAGGAAGATGGGCCTCCCTAGGCAGGGAGGGCCCAAGGCTCCCAGCGGTGCAGGGAGGAGGAAGGGATAGCTGACTGGAGTCGTCTGTCTGTTTGTCTGTCTGTCTGTCTGTCCTGCCACCTGTGGAGGCTGCCAGAAATGCCAGCCAACATGAGCCCAGCTGTCTCCAGGGTGGGTGAGGCTGGAGTGGCTGGAAATGCATGGGACACAGGACAACAGGGGATGCTGGGCTCCTGGGAGGGGCCCAGGGGACTGGCCCCATCCGACCCAGCTCAGCCTCATCCGGCTGTGTGACCTTGGACACGTTACTTGACGTCTGTGGTCTCAGGTGCTGTACTGTGGAACCGGGAGTCATTGCTGGCTCGGCTGTTGCGCTAGGGTTAGGGCTTACCCAGTGGAGCAGCAGCAGGGAGCTCCAAGCTAGGTGTGGCTGGGCATGGAGGGAAGGTCCCCACGGGGGAGCAGGAGTGGAGGCTGCTCCTGGCTGGGGCCCAAAAGCAGAGTGGGTGGGACTCAGACTCCCTCTGTGGGGTTCTGACTCTTGGCTGGAAGGCTTTTCCTGAGAGAGGACAGACACCTGCCACCAGCCGCAGGGGTGGCAGTGAGCGGAGGGCTGATGTCCTCACACACTCCCAACTATTTAAGCGCAATATCAACTTATTTTACAGATGAGGTGCCAAGGCCCAAGGAGAGGAAGTGATGCTCAGGACAAGGTGGTGTGGGCTAAGGCTGCCTTGAAGATGATCTCAGTTCCACTGTTTACCACCTGGGAAACCCTGGTTGTGGTATCTTCTTGGCCCCGTGCCTCAGTTTCCCTATCTGTAAATGAAGGTGAAATGCATGTAGCATCTACAGCAGCAGCCAGCAGGCACCCAGGAGACACCAGCTGGTGGTGACTGATGTCATTGTCAACCCTGCCTTCTGGGGTAGCAATGCAGTAGGAGAGGGGGAATCCTGAATGTCCCAGCTGTGGGTTAGGGGTCTTCAGAGACACAGAGCAGTGGGGGGAGGAGTGAGGCTCTTGTGCCACTACTCAAGTCAGCTTACACGAGGGGCTTCATGTGGGCTGGGATCATCGCGTTATAGCCTTATGCAGCACTGGCTTGTGGGCCTACAGTACCCACAGCACCTGGGCAGTCTGGTCACCGTCAAGTCCCCAGGCCTGTGGGTTCTCTCTTCAGTGTGGAGGACATTGGCACAGTTGGCATAAGGATGTGTGATTTGGGACACAGGATTGGAGCTGGGTGTGGTGGCACTCACCTGTCAGCCCAGCACTCTAGGAGGCTGAGGCTGGAGGTTCGCAAGTTGGAGCCCAGCCTGAGAAGCTTAGTGATTTAGCAAGACCCTGTCTCAAAAATTTTTTACAATGAAAAGGGCAGGGCTCCATGGTTTAACCTTTAGTCCTACCTAAAAAGAAAAAGACAAAAAAGATGTAGAGTTGGTGTGTGCTCTGGGAATTGTCAGCAGCTATTATTAATGATAAATGGCTTGCAGGACCGAAATGACCTCTCCTCAGTGACAAAAATCAGGCCCAAAGGCGTCAGGCTTGCCCCAGAGAAGCACCAGCTGCTGGCCATGTCAGTTCCTGACTCCACTTCTGTGACAAAGCCCATGGTGACAGGTGCTAGTGCCTGATTCAGGGGAAACAGAGTCCGTGGCCAGCACTGGTCGACACCTACTGGGGGGGGCAGCAGGGGGGGGCGAGCTGCGTGGCCAAGGTGTGCAGCTCACGGGCTTCCGCCGCCTCCTCGCCCGCCCCTGCTGCCTGGCTCCTGAGCCCCCAGCTGCAGTGGTTGTGCGGGACACTCGCCGTCTCCTCTGCTCCTGGGAACAGGTCATTTCCCAGGCAGTCTGGCAAGGCCACAGGGATTCTCGTGCTCTCACTGAAGCTCGGGGCAAGGCAGTGCCTACACCTGTGACCCTCTGACCCCAGCTGACTTGTCCCCTGCCCTGGGCCAGGCTCTCAGCTGCTGGGCATCATCCGCAGCCTGAAGCTGGCATCCCAGGTTCGGGGGCACTGTGCCCTCCCTCAGCCAGAACATGCTCTCTCTGTCCTGCTCCAGGGCCTGGCACAGCGCACAGTGTGTGTGGGCGTGTGCGCACGTGTGTGTGGGTGGGGGTGCACTTGTGTGTAGGGTTGTGACCCAGGCTTTTCACACTGAACTACATCCCCAGCTTCTTTTTTTTTTAATCTTTATTTATTTATTTGTTTATTTGGTACACGGTGTTGTTAGGCAGCTCAGACTTGCAGTGATCCTCCTGTTTCAGCCTCCCAAGCGCTGGGTTGCAGGTGTGTGCCACGACGCCCGGTCTCAGTGGCCAGCTCCGCATGGGGCCAGCACGTTATGTGGAACCAGAAATCACACCCACTTCCTTGCACTTGCCAGGCATGTACTTAGACCACGGAGCTATCTTCCCGGCCTTTTTTTTTTTAAACAGCATTTTGCTAAACCAATAAATTACCCAGGCTGAGTTCCAACTTGCCATCTTCCTGCCTCAGCCTCCCAGGGCACTGGGGCCAAAGGCTGTAGGGTTTCTAAAATGTGCAATTCATGCACACAAGGAAAAATTAAAAGGGCAGGGTAAGACCTACTGTGAGAGAGTTCCCTCAACCTTGTCCTTGAGGCATAAAGGTGACCCCTGCTTATCCGTGCTGTGATGGTGGCAGGGCCAGGACACCCTGTGGCACCATGCTTTACAGCGCCAGAGCCCTGGGGAGGAAGATTTGGGCTGCTCCAAGCCTGAGGCCAGCATGCTGCAGGAAGTAACCTTGGCAGCCTCGGACACCTAAAGTCATAGAAGTGGCATTGGGGGGGGTGTCCCAGAGAAACTTGCGGCTCACTCCAGGTGCCCTGTGGCGGGGTGCTCCTCCAGGACCGTGAGTAAGGGGCCTGTTGCTAGGGTTCAACTTTCTGTTCCTGTGAGGTGCAGCGAGTCATGGTTGGCTGGTGACAAGAAAGGAGCACCTGGCCTTGGACAGGTGGAGAGACTGAGGCTAGGGGAAGTTGCGCTTGGCTAAGGGTCCTCTCTCTTGGTTCCACCTGCCAGAGCCTGGGTGAGGACCAGCTGCTAGGAAGGGATGGGGGTTGCCCCCAGGTTGCAGCACCCACTTTCCCTGGAGATCTCAGTCCCCACAGCTGGCCACAGTGCAGGGTCAGGAGGTGTCCCCAGAGCCAGCTGGAGCGGGCGGCTCCCACCAGGGCCAGGCCAGCCTGGCTTCCACTGCTTCTTTAAAGACCAGGCCGGGGCTGGAGAGATGGCTCAGTGGTCTAAAGCACCTACTTGAAACAAGCTTGGCAAAGCACAGGGACCGCGATTCGATCCCCAGCACCACATGCCAGCCAGACCCGCCCCCTGGTGGGCTGAGCTGGCCACACACACACACAATAAATAAATGTAATAAATAAAAATAAATAAATATTAAAGACCAGGCTGCCGACCTTGTGCCCCACCTCCGACTATCAAACCATCCTCGCCCACCCGGGGCGTCTGTGTGTCCTGGTGGGGAGTGGGGTGCCTCCCGGCCCCAGGCAGCAAGTGGCCTAGATTGGACAATTGCGATGCCAACTGACAGAACCAGGGCAGCGCAGACGCCCACACACTGCACAGATCTGACCCGAGGGCGGGGACCTGGAAAGCCACTGATGGTGCGGCAGGACCTGGCCCAGGGTGGGCAGAGGCTGGAGCCAGTCTTGGGGACCCAGGTTCTGGCTGCAGCAGGGAGCTGGGGATCTCAGGGCTGGGACCATGGGGTCAGAAGCTGGGAACCCTGGCTGGGTAGGTGTTTGAGGCCTGGTGCGTGGCTCCAGCCAGGTCAAACTAGACCATGCTGAGGGGCAGACGGGGGTGCTTCCCAGGATGGCAGAGCTGAGAAGCCAGCAGGGCCCTGACCGTGGCCTTGGGCAGCAGTGTGGTGCTGAGGAGCTTCCGGAGCACCCGCCTGAGCTTGTGTCAGTGATTTCTCCCCATGGGACTGCGTGCTGGGAGCGGAACAGGGCCCCAAAGTGCTACAGGTTGAATCCTGTGGTCTCTAGGGAGCAGAGCCCCTGTGTCAGCATGAGGCCCCTCCACCACCCCTGGGGGCACCCTGGCCAGAGTGGGCCTGGGGCTCCCCCCACGGTTTCTCTCCTGTCTCCCCAGTGCCTGAGCAGCTGAACCCACCCACACAGCCGCACAGAGCCCAGCCCCCCCCCAGCCACACCATGTCCGGCTCCTACGATGAGGCCTCGCTGGCTCCAGAGGAGACCACCGACAGCTTCTGGGAGGTAGGCTGTGTGCGGCTGCCTGTGCCCCCGTACCCCACTGCAGCCCTTGGCCCCCACCTCCTCGGTCCCTCCGAAGCGCAGAGGCCACCGGAGGCGAGGTTAAGATTCCTGCCTGGGGCTCTTGTTCCGGAGACACACTGTGCCGTTCTCCGTGTAGCACCAAGCCGCGCTCTGCTCTCCGCCGTGGGGGCCCAGGCCAGTTCTGCTCTTGGCCATTAGCACAAGCAGGCCCGCACTTCACAGTTCGCACAGCTTTCACTGCTATCGCTGCTCCCCACTCCCACTCCAGAGGGGTGGAGGTAGGACACGGATGGGGGCGGAGGGACCCCAAGCCACGTAGGGATGCATGAAGACTAGAAAGCAGCATTTTGGGAGCTTCCAGAAGGGTGGGGCGCAGTGTGGGGGGGAGGGGACATGTCGTAATTGGCTCCCGAAATCCAAAACGAAAACTGCCAGACCTAAATTAATAAGTGTTTAATGAGATGTCTACAAAACATAATATTGTGTCAAGAATCTGCGGCTCAACTCAACGCTTCTGCAACTCTATAAATATAATGGGGTTTAGCTCACGAGAACAGCATGAATAATTCATTCGAGCCCAAGTCCAAATTATAAAACTCCTTACGCATTCTGCGGCGGCGAAGAGGTGATGTCTGAAGTGGGAAGAGGGTGTGCAGAAGTGGGGGCGCCTGGCGCGGGGTGCTGGATGCCCCCAACAGGGATCTGGAGAAATGGAGTGGAGTGGCGCGCGCGCCCCCTGCAGGCCGAGGCTGGGAGCGCGGGGCCGTAGGGTGACGCGCGCCGCCGCCGCCGCCAGGTGGGGAACTACAAGCGCACGGTGAAGCGCATCGACGACGGCCACCGCCTGTGCAACGACCTAATGAGCTGCGTGCAGGAGCGCGCCAAGATCGAGAAGGCATATGCACAACAGCTCACCGACTGGGCCAAGCGCTGGCGTCAGCTCATCGAGAAAGGTGCCTCCAGGGTCCCCAGGGAGCCCCCAGACCACCCCCCACGTCCCTCAAGGCGCTGTCCCCCGAGTGCCCAACCAGTAGCTGATGTTTCCTGCAGCCCCAGGGGTCTTTGGAGGGCTGCTTCCTTTTCAGGAATTTTTTAAAAATCACAGGTGAGGTGACCAGAGCTCAGGAGGCTGAGGCAGGGAGGGTCATGAGTTCAAGCTCAGCCTGGGTAACTCAGTGAGCTCAAGGCCAGCCTAACTACATAGTGTAGACAACATCCCCTAATAGGAAGGGAGGGGGGGAAGGACAGAAGGAAGGAAGAGGCTAAATCAATTTTGAAATTTAAGCTTCTAGTAAAGTCTTAACCATAGTGCAAAGAACTATATACCTTTCACCCAGACTCAAGAAAACAAAACAAAACAAAACAAACAAACAAAAACCCTAAACAAACAAACAAGAATTTGGGTCCTTTAACACAATCCAGATGCACATTTGACCACAGCAGGTTTGTCTGGCCCTGGCCCAGTCTGGAATCATACCTTGTGTCTAGTGTCACCACCCTCCATTTCTGTGCTCCTGATTGGGGTTGAGGTTTATACTTTTTTGTTACTATTTTTCTCTTCCTTTAAACTCCAGACTCCATCAGGGCAGGGGCTGGGCTGCTGCCTAGCAGCACCTGGCCCACACGCAGACAACAAAGGAAGCTGACTGACTTCCTTTGTTGTCTGGAAGGTGCTGGGGTTGTACATTCTTGAGCACCTACTATGGGCCTGGAGGAGGGGCAGGGAGACAAGGGCCTGAGTTCAAATTCCTGGTTCCACCAAAAAAAAAAAAAAAAAAAAAAAAGAAAAACATCTGGAGGACCCAGGCTGGCCCCTGGGGCTCCCATGCTGGTGGGGAATGGGGAAAGAGGCAGGTGCAGCCCCAGGTGGGCCGGGGGAGGAGGCTACCTGGAGGTGGTGGCTGGGGCCCTGGAGGATGCACAGAAGTGCATGGAGTGCTCTGGGGTGGGGAGGGCCACTGTGACCCCTGTCGCACCCTCAGGCCCACAGTATGGCAGCCTGGAGAGGGCCTGGGGTGCCATCATGACAGAGGCGGACAAGGTGAGCGAGCTGCACCAGGAGGTGAAGAACAGCCTGCTGAATGATGACCTGGAGAAAGTCAAGAACTGGCAGAAGGACGCCTACCACAAGCAGATCATGGGCGGCTTCAAGGAGACCAAGGAGGCCGAGGACGGCTTCCGCAAGGCCCAGAAGCCCTGGGCCAAGAAGATGAAGGAGGTGACCAGAGCAGGGCAGGGTGGGCTGGGGACTGGGGGGGTGTCCCTCTGGGTGGGCAGCGATCAGCACACCGTCCCAGGCAGTGTGCTCACAGGGAGGCAGCGCCACCTTCCCTAGGACCCACCCACCATGGGGCAGACAGACCCAGAGGAAGATGGGCCCTGGTCCCATGAGATCCCCACAGGACATGTCAGATGAGGTGGGCACTGCAGTGCCCAGCAGGGACATCACAGAAGTGGGCACCTGTCCAAACACCTCAAGCCACAGCCAGCAGCCCCTGCTGTGCAAGACTGTGTGCCCAGCACTCTCCTGGGGTAGGCAGGCAGGCAGCAGCTCCCAGGATGAGTGACCACAGCTCACAAGTGGGACCCTTGTGTACCCTGTCCTCTCCCACAGCTGGAGGCTGCCAAGAAGGCCTACCACCTGGCCTGCAAGGAGGAGAAGCTGGCCATGACGCGGGAGATGAACAGCAAGAGCGAGCAGTCGGTCACACCAGAGCAGCAAAAGAAGCTGCAGGACAAAGTGGACAAATGCAAACAGGATGTGCAGAAGGTGCAGCTGGGTGGGGGCTGGGGACTGGGGTCTGAATGCCCCTGGAGTGGGACATGGCCAGGACTCGCACTTGGCGAGGTCTCACCAGCCTCCACACTGGTGCCCACAGACACAGGAGAAGTACGAGAAGGTGCTAGATGACGTGGGCAAGACCACACCCCAGTATATGGAGGGCATGGAGCAGGTGTTCGAGCAGTGTCAGCAGTTTGAGGAGAAGCGACTGGTCTTCCTCAAGGAGGTGCTGCTGGACATCAAACGTCACCTCAACCTGGCAGAGAATAGCAGGTACTTGGCATGGTGGGCACAGCCAGCAGAGGGCCCCTGAGCCAGTGATGAAGAGAGAGGAAGAGGCCACCTGGGTATGTGCAGACAGCACCAGGCTGGGCACCCAGGAAGTGTGTGGGTGGTGGGTGGGTGAGTGGCCAAGGTGGCATGTGACAGGAAGCCAACTGAGGTACGCTGCTGCTCCCCTAAGTGGAATAAGATGAGGTCTTGGTGAACCCCTGCCCTCTATGCCCCCTGTCCCCGAGCACAGCTACATCCACGTGTACCGTGAGCTGGAGCAGGCTATCCGGGGGGCTGATGCCCAGGAGGACCTCCGATGGTTCCGCAGCACCAGCGGCCCCGGCATGCCCATGAACTGGCCCCAGTTCGAGGTGAGGACAAGTGGGGATGGGGAACGGGAGTCTGAGAAGGCTGGCAAGGGCCTAGAGGTTCAGCCCCCAGAGCTGCTGCTCCCTGTCTGCACCAGGAGTGGAACCCAGACCTGCCCCACACCACCGCCAAGAAGGAGAAGCAGCCCAAGAAGACGGAGGGGGCGGCACTGAGCAACGCCACCGGGGCAGTGGAGTCCACATCCCAGGCTGGGGACCGCGGCAGGTGAGGGTCCCTCTGGAGTTTTTTGGGGTTTTTTTTCCCGGAACCAGGGATTGAACTCAGGTCCTTGCGCTTGCCAGGCAAGCGCTTATTTTACTGAGCCATCTCCCGCTCTCCCGCCCTCTCCCTCCCCTCCCCTCACCAAACAGAGCTGATCTGAGAGCTACTGGCCCCTGACCCTCCCATCCAGCTTGGCAATACTGGGGCCTTGAGCCGAGATTAGCAGGGAATGCCCTGGGCCTGGGGCCGCTCTCAGGCATCCTTCCTTCGCATCTCAGCGTCAGCAGCTACGACAGAGGCCAGCCTTACGCCACTGAGTGGTCAGACGACGAGAGTGGAAACCCCTTTGGGGGCAATGAGGCTAACGGAGGCGCCAATCCCTTCGAGGATGACGCCAAGGGTGTCCGTGTGCGGGCGCTGTATGATTACGATGGCCAGGAGCAGGACGAGCTCAGCTTCAAGGCCGGTAGGGTGGGCTGGGCAGCTGGGCGGGGCGTGGGCAGAGGGCTGGGTCCGGGCTGGGGGAGGGGAGGGGCCCGGGGGCGGGGCCAGGACCTGGTGGGGTGTGGCGGGGGGCAGGGCCCGAGCCTTCCTCCGAAGGTTTGGATTAGGGAACGCATGGAATAAGGTGGGGTAGAGTAGAGACAGAATTTAAGGAGCAGGGCTGGAAGCTGTGAAAGGAACTGGAGGCGGATCCTGGACATCAGGGCCGACCGATTCAGGTGAGGTGATGCACACGAATGCTGGGTTGAGATGAGGTGGGGCCGTGGCCGAGGTCAGAAGCCAAGGTGGGTGCATTGGAACTACAACGCCGAGGGGGCCTTGGAGGTCTCACTGGACCGAGGACTGGCCAGCTTCTCTGCTCCTGTTGGGCCAACCATCCCTTCTTGTGTTCTCTTCCCAGGAGACGAGCTCACCAAGCTGGGTGAAGAGGACGAGCAGGGTTGGTGCCGTGGGCGGCTGGACAGCGGGCAGCTGGGCCTGTACCCCGCCAACTACGTGGAGGCCATCTAGTTGCCCGCCGGCCACACCCTCCCTCCGTCCCACCGCGGCCCCGCCCTCCTCTCGCTCCTCCCCCTCCCCTTGCCATAGAGTTCCAGACATATTTTCCGATCAAGCTTTTATTTTTTTAAAAGTCAAACAGAACAAAAAAAATATAAAGAGACAGAGCATTTGCAGGGCCACCTGGAGCCAGGGTGGTGGAACTTGGGACGATGGCCCCGGGGTGGCTGAGGGTCTTAGGACTTAGCCCAACATCACATCTGCTCTTCGGAGTCCACCAAAGAGTCTCCTGAGCCCTGAGAGACATCTGGACCCATGTACCCTGCCTCACTGTCGCCTACCTGCCCCAACCCACCGCAGATGCCAGCACCCCCCTGCTCTCTGAGCCTGGCTTCCTAACCTCTTCCCTCTCCCCTGCCTCTCCCCGGAAAGGGAGACCCCAATCTCGAGTCTTCCACTACCCCAGGAGAACCTTCTTCTTCTAGACCCATCCCTTGGGATCAGTGGGGCTGGAGGAGGAAGTGTCACCCTTCTTTCCTATAGAGGTTCCCAGGCTTCCCCAGAAATGAAAAGGGGTGAGCTGGATGGAGGGGTGTAGGGCAGGGTGAGTGGAAGGACACTGGGCCCTCAGCCCAGGCTGTGCCAGCCTCCCAAGGCCAGGCCATAGCCAGGCCATCTGTGGACCAAGACCCTTCTTCCCAGCTGCCAGCACTGTGGGCAGAGCCCCCTCCTCAGAGCCACACCCCTCAGTCACTCACAGAGGCCCTCTTAAGCCCTTTGGCTAGGGGTAGGGGCCCCAAACCCAGGGCAAAGCCAGCAACAGTAGCAGCCTCCTCCCATTTCCTGGGGAGGAGGACATCTTGCCCAGTCCTGCTCTCACTCCCTGCATACCTAGCCAAACCCTAGAATCACAGGCTGTGTCAGCTCTCCAAGATAAGCCTTGTGCCTGCAAGGCTCCTGGCCTGACTGTCTCCACCCCTCTCTTGCGTCTGGGGCCTTGGGACATGCTGGAGGGCCACAGGCTCTCCCAGCCTACGGCCATCAGGGCAAAACCTGCAGTCAAGTGGGGCCGGAGAGAGCGCCTCTGGCCTCGGGCTGGACAGCCACCCCATCTTTCTTCCGGGTCCCCCAACCTCGCTGAACATTTTCCTGCTGGCAGCGCCCCCACCTCTCCAAGCCTGGGTCCCAGTGAAAGGAGTGAGGGGCAGAGGACCAACTGGCCTGGTGAGAGCAGTAGTCCCGGTGTCAGGTACTGGTGCTGCCACTGGCAGGCTCTGGACCCTTCCTTCCTGCTTCAGTGTTCTCCTGGGGCTCCAGGCAAAGGCAACCTGCAGCCCCAGCCCTAGGGCTCTGCCCCGTTCCTGTGGGCACTGACAGCTCTGGCAGGGGCCCAGGCTGGACAGGCCTCACTCAGTGCCAAGGACAATGGCACGAGGCACAGGCAGGCTCCCAGCTGCCTGCACTTCTTATCACTGTCTGGTCTCTGAGCCTCTGTGGCAGCCCGAGACCTGGCCTGAGCCCCTCGGAGCCCAGAGCCCTTGCTGAACCCACATCGGGGGCTAGGGGCTCTGCTCCTACCACTTGCCTACAGAGGCAGGAAGCGGGCTTGCCTGCACCTTGGGGCCTAACCCCCTCTTTGTACCAGGCTGGACCCAGGCCTGTCCCTGTGGCTGCCCAGTGCCGGCAAGGACTGGGGAACCTACCCCTTTAGAGCAGCCACCGCCACAACCCCAAGTGGGATCGGCCCCCAAACCCCTCAGGACCCCAACGCAGGAGGGTCTCACCTCGTCAAGTCTCCTGAGGTGGGGCCCACCCCCCCTGTCAGTGCTGGTGTCCAGACCACGCCCCCCGCCTCCCACAGCCCCGCCCTCCCCAACACGATGGGTGGCAGGCCTGGCCCTGGCGGGCTCAGCCAGGGATGGGCGTCTGTCTCCAGTACCGACCACCCTACAGCTGGGCTTGCGAGAGCCCTGGCTGCCCCGCCGCCGCCGCCACCTGCCGCCCGAGGCTTCCTGACTCCATTAGTTCCGACACCTGTGAACCTCCGAGAAGTGCTGTGGTCTCAGCAACGCACCTGTTTTGTACATGATTGTGTAATTTAAAGGTATATAAATACAAATATCTATATCTATATATAAGTCGTGACTGTATGACTGTGGATAAAACCCAGAACTGTGTCAACCTGGCTGGATGTGGTCTTCTCGAGTCTCGAGTGTCTTATTGTGGCCTAGGCCCTTGGGGTGGGGACATCTGTCAGGGAGATGGTCCCAGAGCAGGGCTGGGTGCTTCCTGAGGCGCCAGCCTACTTGGATACTAGGTGTCCAGGGACACCACTGGCCAGGAGAACTGCAGCACTGAGACTCCAAAACTCAGGCATGGCTCAAAGGTGATGGTCGCCCTCACATAACTTGCAGCTTTTCTTTTTTCAGGACCAAGGGGTCGCACTGAAGGCCTTCACACTGAGCCACAGCCCCAGCCCTTCTAAATTTTTTTGAGACAGGGTTTGGTGGAGGTGCTCAGGCTGGGCTTGAACCTGTGATCCTCCTACCTCAGCCTCTCATAGTGCTGGAATTACAGGTGTGCGGCACTATGACTAGCTCACACTTTCGGTTTTTTTTTTTTTTTTTTTTTTAAGAAGTACTCATTTTTTAAAAAATTTATTCATTTATTTTGTCTGTGGCCAGTTCAAGCCCACCAGGGGGCAGGGCTGGCTGGCATGTGGTGCTGGGGGATTGAACCGAGGTCCTTGTGCTTTGTTTAGCTTAGCTTGTTCTAAGTAGGTGCTTTAGACCACTGAGCCATCTTACTAGCTCACATTTTCAGTTTTTAAAGCAGAACTTATCAAAGCGGCTGCTGAAGCCCATGGTTCTGTTACCTCAGGCCTAGGCTCACTGGGTGTGACAACAGGCCCTGCTGTGCCAGGGGTCTGATCTACCCTGACGGCTGTTCTCAGGGGAGCCCCTGGGAAGGCCAGCAGGACTGGGCAGGACTGGAGCGCAACGCAATCAGTCAACTCCAAGTCCAGCCCTGGAGCTCCCCCTGCACCCCAGCTGGATCTCTTTGGGAGGACACAGGCCCCTCTGTGACAGCAGCTGGGCAGGGCACTGATACAACCCAGCCTTCTCGGTGGTGTGATGGGGCACACTTGCTATCCCAGCTTGCTTCCTGGGAGGCTGAGGCCCAAGGATTGCACATTTGAGACCAGCCTGGGCAACGGTGCAGCAAGACAATGTCTCAAAAAAATTTTTTTTTAAACATCACACAAATGAATAACTGTGGCATTATCCAGGCCCTGGGTTAAATCCCCAGGACGGAAAACTGCCAGCTCCTTAGCCCAACTCCTTCTCCTGCCTCATCACATGCTCAGGATTGGGGTTGGCGGGAGGTGGCCGAGGCTTTTGCTGTCCCTCTCCCACTCCCCATCTCCACCTCCACTTGAAGCTGTCCCTTCAGTCACAGGGAGCCCAGGAGCTCAGAGTGTGCCCTGTGAGGGGCCTGGGAGGGTCTGTGCAGGGCACCAGGTGGAGGAGGAGGAGCTGGCTGCCGGCTCACAAGGTGTCCCTGCGTGGGGGAGCTCCTGCCAAGGGCTGCCTGCACCCCACAAGCCTCCCTGCTCCCCACTCTGACCTCTCATCCCCGCCTGTGCTCCCCAATCCCAGCCTGCACTCTGCCAGCAGCACCAGCTAGTGCAGGGCAGGCTGGCCCGGATGTCCAATCCCAGCGCTGGCTCCAGGAACCCCCTGGAGGCGGGGCGGGCTGGCCCGAGACAAAACCAGTTGGTTCAGCAAGCAGAGGCCGGGGCTGGCCGGGCTCCCAGGCTGCCCCACCGGGCGGGAGGCAGCAGGGCCCCCTCCTCCTCGTTCGGCCGCAGCTGGCAGACGCCGACGGGCTGTTTGCTCGCTGCCAGGCGTAAACTTTCTTCCGAAGACAATAAAATCGCTGGGGGCAGAAGGCAGGAGTCCAGAGCCGCCTTTAACCCTCAGTGGCCTAGAAGCGCGGCTGGGGCGCAGGATGCAGGCGGTGGGTCGGTGCCGGCCAGTTCTGAGGCCCGAGGGACGGAGGGGCAGGGCGGCCGGTGCTCTGAGCTGGCGCCCCTAGGTCTGCGGTAAATCAGCTGAGTGACCGAGCAAGCCGTTGAGCCTCTCTGGGCCTCAGTGTGGGAAACGGGGAGGACACACCACTGCAGTTTTGTTGGGAAGGCCAGTGACCAGGAATCCCGGCGCGCCCGAGGGCCTCCTCCGTGGACGCTCCGCTCGGGGAGCACTTGGAGCTGCCCGCGGGGACAGCGGCGGCCGTGTGGCCTCCCGCAGCTGCGCAGTCGCGGTCAGCCCCAGCGCCGTTCCTCTGCCCCCGGCCCCCAGAAGCCTCTTCCCGGGCAGGATGTGAGGGTCCCTCCTTGGCCTGCTGGCTTCACTGTCTTCCACAAGCTCATTCTGACCCGTTATCTCTTTCCTTCTTCTTCTTCTTCTTTTTTTTTTTTTTTTTTTTTTTTCGGAACCGGGGATTGAACTCAGGCCCTTGCGCTTGCCAGGCAAGCGCTTATTCTACTGAGCCATCTCCCCGGCCCCCGGCTCAATGCTACCTTCCCCTGCCACCCTAAGCCTTTGTAACAAAAAACCCCACAAAATTTAACGTTTTTGAAATATTAGGAATTCATACTGAGCTAACATTCCCAGTTTTTTCTTTTAATTTATTTTGAGACAGGGTCTTGCTAAATTGCCCAGAAGGGGCTCCCACATGGCATCCTCCTGCCTCAGCCTCCCAGAGTGCTGGGATCTAGGTGTGTGTCGCTGTGCGTGACCACTGGTAACCACTTGACCACCAGTGGGCTCCAGACGCTCCCATCCCCTCACCGACCCTGGAGACCTGTCTATATGCTCACATCCCTGGCTCCCACCTCAGGGTGCAGGCGCCTCCTAGCTCCTCGCCAGGCCTGGGGTAGAGCAGGCAGAAGGGCTGGGACAGAGGATGCCCCACAGTCACAGCCACGCTGCATCCCCGCTGTTTGGCAGGTGCTGCTCTGGGCCTATGGGGTCCGAGGCGGGTGGAGAGGTCCTTTCGTGGGGAGCAGCCTGTTACCCCGCGTCCACCAGGGCACTGTATATGTAAGCAGCAAGGGCCGGGGTCCCAGGGAGCTTGCTGTACCCCTGGCAACAGTGGGCCGCCCCCTGACCTTGTGCTTGGGGACCCAACCTCAAGCTGCCCTTGGTCCCCAAGCCTGGCCACATGTGGCCAGAGCCAAGGTGGCAGGACAGAGGCAGGGTGACTGAGGGCCTCAGATGGGGTGCACGAACTGGTAGACCAGGCGCTGGGAGATGTCCGGCTTGCGGATGATCCCCTTCTTGTAATACTGGCGGATGGAGCGGCTCAGCTTGTCGTAGTTCATGGCTGGGCGGTTCTTCCGGATGCCCCATAGCCGGGCCACTTGGGCAGAGTCCTCGATTTTGAAGATGCCTAAGTGAGGAGGAGGGTCCAGAAAGAGGCAGAGGTGAGGGCAGGCCAGGAAGAAGAAAGGCGCGCAGAGCCCACCTGGTCATCCTGGGACCCTTACCAGAACAGCGTGTGGCCGAGTCCCGCAGACGGGGACACAGACCCTGTGGTCCACAGCCCTCCACTCACCCTTGTCCTTGTTGAGCCAGCGGATGAGGCGGCCATAGCTGTGTGGCTTGAGCAACAGCTCCCGCAGGAACTGCCAGAGATGGATGGGCTGTCCCGAGCACGATGAATCCACCTCACTGTCTGCCCAGCTGTCCTCGCTGGTGGATGCTGGCGGCCAGGGGAGGGTGATGAGCGGGCAGCCACAGCCACCGGGCCCAGGAGGCAGCCACCCCACCTTCCGGCCACCCTCCCTGCCCCCCCACTGGGCTCACCGCAGCAGTGGACAGCCCCAGGTGAGGTCCTCGCCTTCATCCAAGCCGCTGTGGGACAAGGAGAGCGCACTGAGGACCCAGGAGGGGCCCAGGGGAGATGGGGAAGGCTAATGGGTGCTACTGTGGGCCATAGAGCCCCTGGTGGAGGCTGGGTTGTCCCCTGAGCTCCTGCTTATCGCCAATCCAAAAGCAAAGTGCGGGCCAGGGATTTAGCTCAATGGCTCAGTACCTGCCTGACAAGCACGAGGTCCTGAGTTTGATTCCTGGTGCCGCGCTAATAAAATACGTTCAAAAGCAAGCTGCCTGTGAGGAGCTTCCTGGGAGATTTAGGGTTTCAGAGCTCAGGGCCCCGCAAATGTCCCTGTCTCCTGTCCCGGTGCAGACCTGTCCCCTGGACACACCTGAGAGCCAGCAGGTGTGGGGATGTCACTCACAGTGACATCTGCTTCCTGGCCTCCGCTGCCCAAGGCACCGAAGGCTTCCAGGCCCCCCAGCCTCCCCCTGCCAACCAGGCCCAGCTCTCCCGCCTCCATGATGATGGCAGGGTGGGGTGGGGTGCTCCTGTGCACATCACGACCCTCTGGCCAGAGTCTGAGCCACAGCATCGTGGTCTCTGGCAGGATCCTGGGCCTAGGTCCTGTTCCCTTCTTCTTTCCAGGCCCTTAAAGCAGGGACCTTGACAGACTGAGCAAAGTGGGAAGCTGTGTACAGCACCCAGAAAGTGGCTGATGCCATGGAGACAATGTAAAGGTGTAGGGGGGCACATGGCCATTGAAACATAGAGGGCAGGGCTGGCGAGATAGCTCAGTGTTCTAAAGCGCCTGCTTAGGTAAGTTTAGGCAAAGTGCACAGGGACCACGGTTCGATCCCCGGCACCACATTCCATGAGACCCCGCTCCTGGGGTGGGCTGAGCCAGCCATAAAATAAATAAATGAATAAATAAACTAGCTCTAGTTAAAAAAAAAAAAAGTAGAAAAGAAACATAGAGGTCAGCTGGGTAAGATGGCTCACATCTGTAATCCCAGCACTCTGGGAGGCTGAGGCAGGAGGATCTGAAGTTCAAGTCCTGTTTGGGCTATGCAGTTCAGACTGGTCTTGAACTCATGCCTCTGCCTCCCGAAGGGTGGGGTTACTATTTTTTTCTTTTTTAATTTTGAGACAGGGTGTTGCTAAGTCACTAAATTGCTCAGGCTGGACTTGAACTTGTGATCCTCCTGCCTCCACTTCCCAAAAAGTCCTCCATGTACTCTGTGTTAAATTCTGAAGCCTTGGCCAGGACTGGGATGGGTTGGTGAGTTCCCCTAGGCTGTTGTCATTGGAGCTGAATTCTGAGGGGCGTCCTGGTTGGGGCAGGGGCTGCTCCCCCATGGAGGAAATCAGCCTTTGTACTGGCCTCCCTCCCTGGCCTCCACTGTCCCACCTGATTTCCAGATGTCCAGGTGGGCATGCAGCACGTCCCCACCCAGGGGTGAGCGCTGGCGGAACTGTTCCTCAGACAGGGCACACAGCTCCTTGCCCCCCAGCTCCTGGAAGGCCGTGCCCACGGCGGGCAGCCGGTACTGGTGCTCGGTCCACAGAAGCCACTTCTGTACATTGCCAGGGCTCCAGTCCACGGGGTCTGGGGGAGAGACACCCACTGGGCTCTGAATGCGACCCTCTGTGCTCCAGGACCATGGGCTCCTTGGGAGGGAGGTGAGCCGGGTCTGGGCAGGATGTTAGGGCCCTGCAGAGGCACGAACCCAGGAAAGAGAGGAGCCAGAGGACGCAGCCAGGATCCTGAAAACAAACGCGGCTTGGGCCACTGCTAAGGGGAGCCCCAGCCCTGGAGGGGACAGAGACTTTAAGCCAGAAGCACCTGAGCTCTTTAGCTACCTTTTTTTTGAGACAGGGTCTCACCAGGCAGTTCAGGCTGGCCTAGAGCTCACATTGTAGCTCAAGCTGAGTGCTGGGATGACAGGCATGCGCCATCACACCGTGCTGGGGACAGAGGCTTTAAGCCTCAACACCTGAACTCTGTAGCAACTTCTTGCTCCCCTCAAGTCCCTCAAGAACCAGAGAAAAACTGAGCCCGGAGTAACAAGGACCCGTCACAGTATATGCAGAATGCTTAAGTTTTAAAAACTTCTTACAGGGCTAGGGAGATAGCTCGGCAGTCCAAGGGTCTGGCTGGCAAGCACATGGACCCGGGTTCGGTCCCTGGTACCACGTGCGGTGCGAGCCCTGAAGCTGCGCTGGGGAAGGATCGTTACAGGTCTGAGCTGCATAGCGAGACCCTGCACCAAATAAATATTTTTTAAAAAGATTTTAAAACTCTTAGAATAGAAGGCATGTGTCCCTGAGTCCCCCAGAGCCTTCCCCCTTGCTTTGCACACACTGATCCTATCCTTCTTGTCACTCTCTGAAGCAGCTCTGCAGGCCTCTCTCTTGTGGAGGTGTGATCAAAATGGTGGTGAATGCTGCCACCGAAGTGCTGTCCAGTGAAAGGCAGCCTGTGAAAGCGCCTGCCTTGCTCACTGAACCTGGGGCCCTGTGACTCCTGGCTCCTCTTTGGAGCTGAAATGACTGTGAAAAGGAACTGTTTCGGGCAGTGCCAGCACCGAGGCAGCCAGGACAGCACAACTTTAGATGCTCAGGAAAGAGTGCTCCAGAGCTGCTGCAGAAATTGCCAAGGCCAGAGGGATGAGGGTCTTTGGTGCCCAGGGAAGTATTTTGACACGGATTCACCCCAGTGTGTCTTTTATTGTAGCACATTTTAAACTTTAACCTCACACCGTATTTTTCAATTGCATCTCATATTGTTACTAGTCCACACATCACTTCATCCTGGTACTTTACAGGGGAGGAAACTGAGGCCTGCTGAGGTGTATGTGCGCTGTTCAAGGCGTGTATGTTGAGTCCACAGCAGCAGGGGCGGGGCAGCTATGGAGCAGCTGTGGGCTTCGGAGGCCAGGGTTGCCTCTGGTCACTGGCTAGGATTCTGCATCCCCCTGGCAGGGCACACAGGGCTTCAGCTGGGGGGCACTGTAACAGCAGGGGTCACAAGCAAACAGCAGGCAAACACCTTGACCTCCTTCATAATGAGCCCATTTCCTCCCTGAGGTCAAAGTGAGTTATTTCTACCCTCATTGTTCTGAGGGTATAGAGACCTCCTGGGGTGGAATGTGGTGGAAATGGGCAGAACAGGGGGGACAGGGCCCTCGGGCCGTAGCGGAGCTTCCCTCTGGGGCCGCTGCAGGCAGGGGCTGGGCCTGAGGGCTGTGGAAGACCCCTGCTTCTTGGTGAAAGCTTCAGTTAGGACAGAGCCACATCCACCTTCCCGGCCTGGCAGGGGCTGGTGTACTTGGCCTGCTGCGCCCTCCTCACCACACATGCTGGGGCACGTGGATCTGCTTATTTATGACCTGTTCCCTCTAAATAATACCAGCCCAGGGACATACAGCCCTTCACACTGTGTCCCCACTGCCATCCCTACTCTTGGAACACAGCCTGGGGGACAGATGAGAGCTTTGGGTTCGATTTGCTCTACAGCTGTTTATTGAACAGCTATTATATCCAGGTGCCACCCGAGGCCCTGAGGTGTGGGCATGAGCAAGCAAGGGGTAAATCCCTGCCCCTATAACGTGTGTACTCTAGAGGGAGTCACAGATGGCAGCCAGGAGCAGGTCTGAGGAAAGCTGGTGCTGAGAGGCACCTACGTAGGCTGAGGGGTTAGGAGCCGGAGGTGGGCAACAGTGTCCTCAGGCCTCGCTGAGGCTGTGACACCTGGGCTGGGGCCTAAGGGGCCTGGGGAGGGGTCCCGTGGATATCTGGGGAAAAAGCACTCTAGGCTGACAGGCCTGCCGGGAGAAGGTCCTCAGGCTGGTGCTGCAGGTGGCTGAGGAGGAAAGGAGAGCGGAGTGGGAGTGGGAGTAGAGCTAGGACCCCCGCGCCCCGCACCTGCTAAGTGGGGCTCCGGCAGCAGGGCGGGGCCTGGGACGGCGGGGTCCCTCCCAGCCAGGCCGTGGCGGCCCAGCAGTGCCCCCCAAGTGCAGGCCGCCACCCCAGCGCCCACCCGGAGGCTGCAGAGGCCCGGCTCACCCGCGGTGATGTTGAGCAGCTTGCAGGCCGTCTCGATGTCCTTGAGCACCTCGCCCACCACCATGGACTGCACCTGCTCCAGCGAGTGCTCCTCCAGCGCCAGCCCGCCCGGCTCGAGATCCAGGCTGCCCCCCGGGGCCTGGCTGTCGATGACTGGGCACTGCTCGGGCTCCTCGGGCGGCTCCTCCCGGGTGCCGGCCATGGGGCCCTTGGCCACCCAGGTGCCGGCCTCAGGGTACAACATGTCGAAGTCGGAGAGGTAGAAGGCGGGCAGGCCCTGCTCGGGCGAGGCAGGAGGGCTGGGGCTCCAGTCCCCTTTCTCAGGCCCCGCCACCTTCTCCAGGCCTGAGTGCAGTGCCGCGTCGGGGGGCAGCAGCAGGCAGCCGGGGGGCGCAGAGCTCAGGCCCGGACTGGCGCTGCCCATGCCGCTGCAGCTCGGGCTGGCGGCGGTGTCTGCAGAGAGGAAAGAGGCAAGGCTGACCGCCTCCAGTGGGGCCGTTAAGCTGGTTGCCGGGAAGAGGGGGCTGGGGGTGGGGGCTTCTGGGTCACTGGGCACTGAGATCAGTGCTAGTGGGAAGACAGCCAGGAGAGGGCCAGCCTGGCCTCGAGCTGCAAATCTGGACCCAAATGACAAGCTTAAAGCAACCCTGAGGTTCAGGATGGGCAGTGTGGTGACCCATTTTGCAGATGAGCAAATTGAGGTTTGGACAGGGGGGCCCTTCCTGTTCCAAGCCTTCCTGCCAACCTAACCTAAATCTCTCACGCTGCGCCTGTCACTGGGGCAGGGGACCCTCCCCAGGGCTGTCCTCAGAACTGTTTCAGTGCATAGTGTGGGAGAGGGGACTTTCAACTTTGACACCATAAAACCCTTGGGGTCCCTGGGGCAATTGGTGAGTTATAGGCCTAAGACTAAAGAAACCAAAACAGAAGTAGAAGGTTGCCTAGTGGTGTGTGCACCCCTAGAACTTCAAGGGGTGTTTGGCAGGAAGGAAAGAAGAGAGGCTGGCGCACTGGGAAGTTGAGGCAGGAGGACTGCAAGCTCGAGCCTACACTGGGCCACTTAATGAGATGCTCATTAAGAAAAGAAAAAAAAAAAGAAGAAGGCAAGAGGCAGTGTCTGTGGGGAGGACAGGTGGGCTTGGCTCTTTGGTGAGTGGCAGAAACCTCATTCTTAGGCGACCTGAGCACTGGGGATGGAGTTGGGACAACAGCGATGTTGAAGGCCTTTGGGTGACCGGGGTGACCGGTGTCTGGCTGGGAGGGGGAGGCACACAGAGGGATGGCAATGGCGCAGCTGATGGCACCTGGCCATCTCCCATCACCCTGGAGACCAGCCTGCATGGCCTCGGGGGGCAGCTAGCCTGCTCGAGACCTTCCTGACAACTCAGAAAGGGACGTCTTTTCCTCTCTGGAGAGCAAAGCTTGGTGACTAGAACAGGGAGAACTCAGTTCCCTCTGCCCACCCCTTGCTCAGTGCCCAACCTTCCCAACCTTCCATGGCAGCCCTGCAGCTTCCTGCCAGCAAGACAAAGAGCTGTTCCCTTTGGCATCCATTCTTCCTTTCAAGGGCTCCTTTAAGTGACAAGGAAGAAAAGGTCAGGGTGGGTGGGGTGGGCAGGGATGGAGGGGGCTGGGTTGCGGGGCACGAGGCAGCCTGGCGTCCTTTCAGGCCCTTCTCTGCAAATACTTGTGTGCTGTGGGCTGCTGTTATTTACCCAGGTAGTGCGCACAGCCTGCTCTGCCTGGGTCCCACCCTGGCCGGGGCCCACACCCTGCCCAGGTGGCTCCACCAGCCTTTGGACGTCCACGTCCCCAGAGCCCCATGCCTGCCACGTTAGGCTGGTCTCTGCCAGCGCAGGCGGCAGGCCAGGAAGCTGTGCTTTCAAGGAGCAAAGAGGTTCACTTCCTCCGAGGCAGCTGCGGGGTCCGGGGGAGGAGTAGGCAGTGAGGGCTGCGCTTCCCATGCTTTGTCCTGTGCTCCGTGGGCCTGGACACCTGTCCTCTGCCGTGGAGGGTGGCAGCCAGCCTGGGACTCGTTCTCACCTCTGTTCTGACGGGGCAGTCAGGCCTCGCCTGGCCTGGATCCCATCTCTAGACTCCTGGCTCAGGGTGCTGCAGCCAGCAGTGAATTCCCACCCTGCCCTCTGCACCCCGCATGCCAGCTCCCCTTGCCCTGCTACACACCAAGGAGCTACTCCCCAGGCCTGGCCTGATGCCAGCCCTCCTGAGTTAATGGTTAACACAACTCAGGTCGGGCTGTGCCTCACAGGCTTGGGAGCAGGCCTGGGGTGCCCGCCCCAGGCACACACCCTGTGGGCCCTGTCACCCACGCCCGGGAGCCTGCGTTTAGATGCAGCTGGGGAGACTCAGGGGGTTGTGCACTGGCCCAGGCTCCCCACCAGTTCTGCCCATGGGACCTGTCCCTCTTCTTGGGGGTTCTACCAGGCTTCTTCACACCCCAACATTCAGACCTACCCGGGACCCGAGGTGCAATGAAGCCAGAGAAGGGGAGCACTGTGCTCTGGGATCCAGATCAGAGCAGGGGTGACATGGGGACAGCACTCAGGCTCGTTTCTCCCACTGGGGCAGCCCTGCCAAGGATGCCTGTGGCTTCTTTCCCCTGTGGTCCTCCTGCCCGCAGCCGCTGACCCCTACTCCGCAGCCTGTGCCAGGTCTTCAGCAGCGATAAAACCCCCAGCTGAGTCCTGCCCACGGGGCTCCTGCACAGGGCACCTGAGTCTCAGAGTGGCAGGGGAGTGCCCACATCACAGCACGGCCAGCACCAGGTCGCAGGCCTCCAGCGGCCCTGTGGGCCTGGCCCTGGGCCAGGACTGGTGTCCACTAGGCCCCGATCAGAAGTTGGCCCAGCCCTCCTAGGGCCACTGTCTCCCAAGTGATGCCTCCAGCTCTCAAACCTCCACTTGATCCCCTGGATTAAGCCGCGTGTGTGTGGATTAGGGCACCGCATGTCCTGCTCCCTTCTGCCCTGGAGCCGGGTTCCCCCTCCAGACAATGGGGGTTTGGTAACAGCTGGCAGAGGACGGATGGGGGGTGGGGATCAGCCACAGAGAGTCCCTCTCGGCAACTCCAACCCCCAGGAAGACAGGCAGGGGAGAAGGCAGAGACCAGAGTTGGGGCAGAGCACAGCTCTCTCCTGCCCACCTGGCACTGTGTCGGGAAATGGAGTCACCTGGGAGGTCCCCACTTCAGCCCTGGATTCTCCCACACCCTATCTGGTCCAGGCCCCAGGTTCCCACTCCTGGGTTGTAGTGTGGGGCAGATGGGCCCAGCATCCACATGATGTACCCTGTCCCGGGGCACCCAGGACCCAGCTTGGCCCCACAGGGAGTGGTGGGACAGGGTGAAGGCAACTACCTGCCAGCCTCTCCACAGAAGGAGCCCAGCACCTCCTTGGGCTCCCCCTCACTGCCCTCCCTCACCCCTAGCAACCTGTGCACCCCTTTAACAGGCTGAGCCAGCATGTAGGGGTGGGCCCGGGGCCTGGCCATCTGCCGCTCAGCACCTTGGAGAGAAGCCACCTGCCTGGCCTTGCACAGGGCCATCCTGGGCCTGCCCACCTGGCCCTGGGAATCTCGCCTCGCAGAGGAGGATCTGGAGGCTATATCCTAGAGCAGCAGCAGGTCCCTGCAGGCTCCAAGAGCACCATGCCCAAGCTGACCGGGAAGGAGGGGTCCGGGCCAGTGGGGCAGGCCTGTGTCCTGCCCTTAGGCTAGCCTCCGAAGGGCCCTGCTACCCGCACTCTCATCTCACTTCTGGTCTGGATCCTGCACAGTTCTATGCCCTGCGGCTCCCTCTTGCCTCTGCCTGACCCTAGACCTTGGGAGGAAGGTGGCAGATAACTAGTCGTGGGCAGTAGCTGCTCCCTCGATAGCGGAAACAACGCAGCCTGGCATTTTGGGCTGGCGGAAGGGCGAGACTCAGTTTCCCTCATCACCCCTGAAGTGGATGTCTGGAGGCTCTGACAGACCTGGTGTGCCCTTCTGGCCAGCAGCACCGCTGCCAGGCTGTCTGCACGTCCCCCAGCCAGCAGGGACCACAGCCCACAGGAGCCCTGGGCTTGAATCATGGGCAAAGGACCCAACTTCTGTCCACAGGGAGCACAGCTCTGCCCAACCCAGAAACTGCAAGTCCCATCTTCGCTCAGCCTGTCTGTGCTCTTCCTCTGCCTTGGGCAGGCCAGGGCCTCTTGCTGGTGCACTTGTAGATGCTCCCTGTCCCTCCCTGTGTAGCACTCTGGGGTCCCAGCCCAGTCTCATCGTGGAAGCCAAGGCCTGAAGACACCCAGAGGCCACTGCTCCTACAGCTCCTGGGCCTTGAGCTCTTCACCAGGGAGCGGGGGACTCCTAAGGACAGCTGGGTCCCTGTGGCTGGTGTCCCCAGGCAGGACAGAGGTGTGGGAAGGCTGTGTCCCCTCCTCCAGCCATGTGTGCTTCAGGAACTGCTCTGCACTCCTGTCTGGGGGGAGGCAGAGGCAGGGCAGCCTCTGGCTCTGAGTGGAGGAGAGGTGCTTGGATATCTCCTGACTCGGAAAGGGGCATGGGGATAAGGTGAAGACACTGCGACAGGACACACGCTAAGTCAGAATGGACCAAACCAGGAGGCTTGGAACTGAAATAGATCCAAAAGGTCAGAGGTGGGCGGGATGGGCAGCCTCCAGGGAGCGGAGGCCTGGGAGGCTGCTGGGGAGTGGGGATTCTCCCAGCCCCAGAACAACTTGCTCCAGGGCAGAGGCAGCTGGGCCCTGTCCCATGGGCCCTGTCCCACTTGAGGACCCTCTCCTTGGGGGAGAAGCTGGCAGGCCCCCAGGCCTTGCTGGGAACTGCACAGGGGCAGGGAGAAAGCCGAGCTAAATGTCAGGAAGGGCCCAAGGCAAGCCCAGCCCACACCAGTTTGCATTGGGAAGAGTTGCTCCACCTGCAGGGCCACTCACCGGGCCAGGGCACAAGGGACAGGCCAGGGGTGGGGACAGGGAGGGTCCCAGACCAGGCTGGAATCCTGCCCAGGGGGAGCGGTGAGGGGATGGGGGCTGAGGAGCAAGGACCTCCAAGAGGAAGCTGGTGCTGGGGACATCTGTTGTCTGGCCTTGTCCACCCTCCCTGCCTTCTAGGAGAAGCCAGAGCTGGGAATGCCCAGCTCCCCCTACCTCAGCCTGGGAGACAAGCTGGCAAATTTAGCATGCCAGTCTCTAGCTTCTATGCAACCGTGAAAGCCCTGCTGTGGATTGTTCCCTCCAGAAAGACACCGTTAAGGGGTCAGGAGCAATGAGAACACCAGACCCCAGCTGCCCCAGCAGGCGCTGTACCCGGTCAGTTTTCATCACCCAGCAGCCCAAATGGCTCCAGGTCACACTCAGGCCGCATGGCCTCGAGCCACTCAGTATTTCCCAGGCTGTTAGTACACTTGCAAGGACCTCGGCAGTAAACAGTGTGCTCTTGGGGACCCTCTGCTTGCTGCCACTTGTGACTATGGACCACCCATTGAGCACCTACTGGGTGCAGGCCCTGCCCTTGCGTGTGGATGTCCAGAAGCCAGGTTTGTGCAGAGGGCCCTAGTGAAAGGGGCTGTAACTTCATAGCTGGTGACGGGGAAACATTTGTCCTTCCCATCAAGCCTCACGGGGTGGGGGTTCCCAGACAGGATGCCCACAACACCCAGATCCCAGGATGCCCCTCAGCCTCAGACCCAGGGTAGAAATTTCCACAGGCAGGCAGGCTGGGCACACTTGGCTGTGCTGGCCTGGCAGAGCCCTGGCCTGGGACCTTGTGGGCAGGAGTCTCCTGCCTGCTTCGCTGCCACTTTGGGCCACGGCAGCCCAAGCCCTGTTTGCTTTGTTACTCAGCCCAGCAGCTGGTGCTGGGGAGCTGCTGTTTTATTGGGGGGTTGCTGAGGCAGTGGGGACAGGAAACGCTCAGACACCCAGCCCTGCCAGGCTGCAGTGCACAGGCTACATGCGTCACAAGGGGGGCTGTGGGCCGGAGGTCACTCTGGGAAGCCACAGCTGCTCAGGTGAGGAGAGGCCTGCACACACACATGTACATGCATGGACACAGGCACACATGCATACACATACATGCACACATATGTACCCCAGAACCAAGGCCCTTTGGCTGCCCACTTGTCACCCCTCCACACATAGGGCTCTGGAGGTCTTGGGGCCCCTTAGGGCCCCTCTGTTGTGTCCTTATGTGCCCACAAGGCCTCAGATTCCCAGATTCTTGAGGACACCACACCACCTGGTTCTTCTGCTCACCCCAAGCCCTAGCCTGGACCCTTCGGGCCAACAAGCCCCTGCTGTCATGGCCAGGGAGACCCCTTGGAAGAGCAGCCAGGACTAGGGGTAGCTTAGAGGTTGTGGCAGAGCAGAAGCGGCCAGGCCTCTAAATCTGGCACCCCCTGTATGACTCCTCTGAGCCTGGGCAGCTGGGGTCAGTGCAGAGCCCATGGACATGGGGGACTAGGGGTTCCCCGAGGCTCTGGGCTCAGCCCAGGGGACTGTGGAGTTGAAGGGATCTGTTCCATGAGGTCCCTGCTGCCTGGAACACAAGCTCTGAACCTCAAAAGTGTCCCCAAAGTTCTGCCGAGGTCACAGGGCTCCCACAGAAGGCACGCTGTTTCTCCCACCAGACTTACCCGTTGGCTGTCCGGGACCCGCGGTGTCGTGCACTGCCTTGCCAGCCTTGGAGACCAGAGGAGGTGCAGGCAGCTGGGGCCACTGCAGTGTCTCAGCCGGGCATGGGGAAGGCCGGCAGGATTGGGGGCCAGCAGCCCCAGGGGTGGGGACTGAGGCAGCCTCTGCAGGGGAGCCACCAGGAGCTGAGCCACCCTCAAAGGTGGCTGGTGAATCTCAGGGCTGTGTGCCTGAGGGGGAGGCCACTGCCTGTGCCCAAGGCCACCTGCTGTCACTACCACGGCCCAGGCTGGGGGCTGGTGGAGTACAACGGGCTCAGGGCAGTGTGGGCACGCGGTGCGCAGGAATGCGCGGGGAGGAAGCGCTGCGGCCGTGAGATGAAGAGTTGGCTGGGCCTGACTGCCATTATAAGTAATCCTTCCTTATTTACCTGAGCAAACACACTCCCTGCTTCCCTCAGACCGCAGGCGGGCTCCTGGTTAACCCTTCAGGGGATCCCTGCTTGCCCAGCAGTTGGGCCCTGGCAGCAGGCTGGGGGCTCCCCAATACCCACACTGTTCTTCATCTGCAGAGCTGGGCGGCCAGGTGAGGCACAGGATGTAGCACCCAGGACCAGTGGAGGGGCAGTAGAGGGGACCCAAGGGCCCAGGACAGGTCCATCTGACCAGGGACCTCCAGAGGCCCAGCCCTTCTGGATCCCATGTTTCCGGGCAGACCCTGCTTGGTCCCTGAGGCACTCACACTAATGGCCACCACCAAGAAGCACTTGCTATTTGCTGGCCCTGCTGGACACTCTTGTGATCTCTGGCACTGATGCTGCTGAGCATCGTGAGCACTGTGCCCCAGAATCAGTGACATCTACCGAGCTGGTTGGTGAAGCTGGTTACCCCAATGCCATTCCCCAATTTTATTTGATTAAACACGCCATGATTTTCATTTTATTTTATCTTTTGGTACCTAGAATCTAACTCAGGGCCTCATGATTGCCAGACAAGCACTGCATCACTGGGATAAATCCCAAGTCCCTGTGATTTTTAGCAGGGTACATGGCTACTTGAAAAGAAGACTGTGCCAGCCTCCCTTGCAGCTAGGTATGACTCTGACCAAATGGAAGTTTTATGATAGGATTTTTAAGAACTTTCTTAAAAAGTAAGCTAATAAGGTCTAAAGGTATAGCTCAAGAGTAGATTAAGGGGCTGAGGAGATGGCCCAATGGAATAAGTGCTTGCCTGGCAAGCGCAGGGGCCTGAGTTCAATCCCCGCTTCCACCAAAAAAAAAAAAAAAAAGTTATAGGGGCCAGGGAGATGGCTCAGTGGAATAAGTGCTTCCCTGGCAAGCGCAAGGACCTGAGTTCAATCCCTGGTTCTGGAAAAAAAAAAAAAAAAGAGTAGATTAAGAGTAGAGCAGTTGTCTGGCATATGCAAGGCATGGGTTCAATTTCTAACACTAAAAAAAAATAAAAACAAAGTTGGCACATATCATTTATTGCCTTTTTCTTTATCCTTCCTCCATATAGATGCCTGTAATATAGCTGCAATAGCTGGCATTGTGGCTGCTATCTTGGATCCTGAGGAAAAGATGAAGGATACTGATCCAGGAGCCAAGGTGTGAGCCTGACCCACAGACTGGGCTCCACAGCCCCGGGCCCGCTTCGTGGCTCAGCCAGCCTGGCCTGAAGAGTGACAGGAAGGAGCCTCTTCAAGCTGAAAAGAGCTGTCAAGGTGAGTGAGGAAAGAACTCTTTCCTTTCACCCCAAGTCCCCAGGCGCAATGTCTGTGATGTGTTCGGGCGTGTCTTACACCCACCCAGGCAACGCTGGGGGGCAGGGAGGCAGCTGGTGCCCACCCTGAGGGACTCTGGTGACACACACCCATCTCCCAGGAGCCAGCCCACGTGGTGTCACAGCACAGCTCGGTTGGACCCCGGCACCACTGGGGCACAGGTTTGGTCCAGGCCAGGGCTCTCCTGACTGTCTTTGGCCTGAGCCTGCGGGGCTGAGCCCAGGCGCTGGCCAAGTTCGCATCCTGTCAGCTCCTCCAGACTCCAGGCATCGACCGTGCAGCACAGTGGGCCCCGGGGCAGACTCACGGCCCGGGGTATGTGACTCTCTCCTGGCCTACCAAGCTCCCAGATCCCCTGCAGCACTGGGTCCTGGGCATGTGTCAGGTGAGGGCTCTTCCACTGAGCTCCCACCCCAGTGCCTTTTCTTTTCTGAGACGGGGTCTCACTAAGTTGCCAGACTAGCCTTGAACTTGCAACACTGCCGTCTCTGCTTCCCGAGCAGCTGAGAGGAGTGCGCCCATGCACACTTTCTCCAACTTTCGACAAAAGCTCCCTCCCCTCAGAATGCCTTCCTGGGCCCCTGCTAGGTGTCACAGACTTCATGGACCTTAAGTTCTCTTTCTCTGTCTCTTCCCTGCATCTCTCTCTTCCTGAGACTCAGGCTCCTGGTGACAGGGACCCGTCGGTCTCAGTGTTAGATTCCGCTATCTTTCTGCTGTGTCCCTGTGCTCCCATCCTTGTTGGCTGGCCTGGAAGGAGTTGTGGCCGCCCCAAGGCACATCCAGGCTGCCCAGTGGTTCCCAGGCCACGGCCGCAGTGCAGGTGCTCCAGGGCCAAGGGTCTCCGCCAGGGCCCAGAGTCTTGGCCACACATGTACAGACAGGATGCACCAGCCCCCGGCAGGGACCCTCTCTCCTGGACACCAGCTGCTCTGCGCAGTGGGTGAGGGACTTGGGAATGCCTGGGATAGGGGCTATGCCCAGAGATCCAGCACTGTGAGGTATTTTCAGGTCCTCAGCCACCAGCCCCGACTCAGATACACCTGGACTGCCCACACCTGCAGCAGGTGACCTGATGTCACAGTCACCCCCTGGGGCTCGGCCGGCTTCTGAGGGCAAAGTGACCCTCGGTGTCCCTCCTTCAAGCTGTGCAGTTTCCTGGTGCTGAGGGAGCACACTTCCGGCCTGGGGAGGCAGGAAGGAGGGTTTGGGCCTGTGGTCCAGGCCTGGCTGGCCCCAAAACATGACGGAGGCCATTGCTCCTGTTCCCAAGCCTGATGTGGGGAAGCAGGAAGAGGAGGACTTTCTCATTCTTGTCTTCCCTGCCTGCCTCTCACCAACTGCTGTGAGCCAGGTGCCAGGAGAGCGGGCCCAGAGTCACTGGGTCAACGCCCAGAATCATCCCGACAGTTTCAGGGCTAGTGCCTCTGTCCTTAGCATCCTGTGTCAGCTGCCGTGGGGAAGCTGAGGCACAGGTCAGTGTGCAGTTGGCACTGTGTCACGAAGAGCCAAGTGCCAGCACACCGCCCCACCCCTCCTCTCCTGCGGGCACCAGGAATCCCCCTGCGTCGTGGGGGGCGGAGGTGGAGGACCCACGTCACTGCCCACACCTGCTGGCTGCTGCCTTTTCCCCATTAACGCGCAGAGCCGCCGGGCCTGAGAAACCACAGCCGATAAGAGCACAATCGGGCTGTTCTGCAGCACTGGCTGCGGGGAGGGTCAGCCGTGGCCCCCACGAGGCCCTGCTATCAGCAGCTCTCTCCCTGCCAGGAGCCCCTTTGAAATGCACCCACCTTATCAGGGCCGCTTCGCAGCTCTCCAGGGAGGGCCGTGGCCTCTGTCCTGCGCTGGGGCTCTGCCTTCCACCTGGGCCCCAGGGGACAACCAGGCTGGGGAAAGCCTGGTCTTCGACCCTGCAGGGACCCCTGGCGTCACGCACACCACGCAGTATCACTCCTGTGGCCGTGGGTGCTCCCCGCCTCGCCCAGGCCTTGCCCCCTCCCCATCGCTCTCTAGGCTGCATCCCTGCCTGGTTTCCTCCTGGTAGAGCGGCTCAGCAGGCACCCCTCCTCGGCACCCCCGGGCCTGTTCCCGGCTGACCCCCAGCCACGCCTTCAGCAAATGTTACCGGGAACTTAGGACCTGCCAGGTCCTGGGGACCAGGACCCACCAATCTCGCTCTCCCACGGCGCTGAGGAGAGGATAAACAGTCACCAAATGAGGGCTTGGTGTGTTGGGGTGATCAGCGCTGCCACAGGTGGAACCTCTGCTGGTGACATTTCACCCAAGACCTGAAGGAGTCCAGTTCGCAGACTCACAAACCCAGGAGGCAGGGGAACAGCAGAGACAGCTGGGCAAGTGGGTCTGGGCTGCTGGGCTGCAGGGTGGTCACTGCATTTTGGGAAGTGAGGCATGACCAGAGGCCCCCAGGATACGGATGTAGCCTGTGACGCTGGGGCTAGAGGAGCCCAAGGGGCCCAGTGCTGCCACGGGTCCTCAGGGAGCGCTCCTCCCAGCCTCAGTTTCCTTCCCCCATACAAGTGGGCCGAAGATCTTTCTTCAGAGGTCAGGAGCAGCAAGTGATGGCGCAACCACAGGGCACCAGGTCACAGGCCCATGTGAGGCTGGTGGAGCCTGGCACCTAGCATGTGCCAGGTGCCCTGGTGGCTTTTGTAAGACCTGCGGCTCAGTCCTAGGGCCATCTCCTTGCTTTATGACCCACCCACCTGGGGCCACACACAGCCCTCTCCTTAAGCCAGTGACCACCCGAGGTCAGGATTGTCCCCGCAGCCCTGTGTGCATCAGCTCCCTTGCTGACCTCATGAATCCTGGGGCATGGGTCATTTCACAGGCGAGTGGGGCCCACAGAGCGCCTCACTCTCGTGACACTGGGAACCCTCAGGATCATTCTTCCTGCTTCATTCCCATCCCAGGCTCCAGCCAGGGGCACCAAGGAGGACAAGGCCACCATGTGACCCCCACCCATGGCCTGTGGCCACTGCACTCCTACAGGCCCCATTCCACAGCCCTGACCCCAGCTGTGGGGTAGCCTGCTCTTCAGCCCAGGTGGATGGCGTAAGAGCCCTGCGGATCTCACCACCCTCCTGTCCGCCCTGCAGGCAGCCAGAGCCCAGCACAAGATGAAGGAAATGCGCAAGGCTACACCAGGAAGGGGTGCGGACGTGAGGTGAAACCACAGGGCGGCCTGAGCTCGGAAGGTGGGGAGGGTGGAGGGTGGCAGGGTGGCCTCAGCACCCAGCACCTCAGGGTGCCCTTGGGTCCCTCTGGTCACTCAGTCTGACCCTCTGATGGCACCACCACTGCCTTGTCTCCAGCCTAGGACCTGTCCTGCTTCACAGGCACAGTAATGGCCAGTGTTCCCAGAGTGAGCCGAGTGGACGGAGCAGAGATGGCTTTGTGGGCTTGGGTGGTGTGTGGGATGCCTGGCCAGGCAGCAGTGGCACCCAGGGACAGCTCAGGGTCCTTGGCCCTTGCACAAGTGGCTGCTCCCTGGTCAGGTGAGGGTTGGGTCCAAAGGCAATGCCACTGAGCAACTCTGGGCACTCCTGTGGGTCCTGACCTGCAGGGGTGC